TTTTCGATTATCTTCCTCAATTCGAAGTCGAAAAATCAAGTCCTCCAATGTCATCTCTTTGCGTTTATGCATGAGATAGTTTTTGAAGTCCTTCCAAAGTGGTGGTAACTTTTCAACAATAGCCGCAACTTGGAAGGCCTCATTCACAATCAATTCTTCGGCCAACAAATCGTGAAAGATGATTTGAATCTCTTGAACTTGGCTAACCACCGACTTGGTGTCCACCATTAAGTACTTTAGGAATTTGCCGACGAGAAATTTTTTAATCCTGGCATCTTCCGTCTTGTACTTCATCTCCAAGGAATTCCATAACTCCTTTGCCGTCTTAATCAGACTATAAACATTATAGAGAGAATCGTCTAGTCCGTTAAAGATATAATTTCTACACAAGAAATCATTGTGATGCCAAACATCCGAGGCCGTACGCTTTTGCATGTCGGTCTCACTTTCGGGGACGATCAAAGGGTCCTCCGAAAGAAAACGAGAGAGGGAGAGAGTTGTGAGGTAGAAAAGCATCTTTTGTTGCCACCTCTTGAAATCAGAGCCATTGAACTTCGGCGGTCTCTCGCCTTGGACAGGAGCAGCTACCATCGGTATAGCGGTAGGTTGAGAATTTATTTGGTTTCCTTCGGTTGCCATCTTATGAACTCACAAATATTTCGTCTTAAGATTGTAGTTTATAATTGTTGTTTTGTATGTGAATTTCAAGAGAATGACTTTATGAAATAGAAGGAATTTTGGTAAAACGAACAAAGTCGAGGCACGTAAGATACGCTCTCCTTAAGACGAAATAGCCCCGTATATTACCCACGGTTCACGGCTAACGCCTCCAAGATACAATGACTTTTGATTTGTGTATAGTGGTAACTCAAATACACAAACCTTCGGCGAACAATACTTAAGTTTCGGAACTCTCAAGATAGGAAAGAACACAAAGAACACAAGATGAATATGAACTTTGTAAAAAGGATGCAAAAGTTATGGAATTATTTTCTGATGTCTTGAATGATTTCATGTTAGTGGGTATTTATAGATGTAAGGAGACACTCCAAGAGGTTTAAGTGTCAAAAGACACCTTTTGGGACGTGCCTGAACAAGAACGGATGTATCTAGTGGTCAAAAGATACCTTATGGTCACCAAGGGTTGCAACCCTTTGATTTCCGCAGCCAGTTGCGCGTCCGTGCGCCGCGGGCTCGTACGAGCTCATACGGACTCGGAATCGAGTTCCGTTTTTTCCTATTTGTCCCCAACGAGCCCCTCTACAATTCTAGCATACATAATGCATATTTATGGCTCATTTAGTTTATCCAAACATTTATTAAAATATAATGTTTGTGAACCCTTCAACCTTTTGAGTTGTTTAAACTCAATTAATTAAAATACAACACTTAGAATTAATTTCTCATTCACCTTTAAAAGGTTTTGAGACTTTTCTAAGTATTCTACTTACGAAAAATAAAATTGTTAAATCGGTACAAAACCAATTTTTTCTTACAGGAACTATTCCGTAGATCAACTATTCATGACGGTTACATGATGATCTAACGATTTCAAAATCTCGTTAGAATGATTCCAGGACCATAGTATTTCCCATATATATGATAGCGATTATATGAACACTTTCCCAGAAAAATTTAAAGCACACGATTTTAGCCTTTTGAATTAATGAATGGATGGCGGCGGCAGTCTGTCTGGTCCCTGGCGGTGCTGAGCGTTGACCAATCGTCTCCTAGCCACTGCTCAAGATTTTGAAAATTCATGCAAATTTATTAAAAAAAAAATTGTTCGATTCATTTTTTTTGTTGTCAACGTGCTAATGTCCTTAACAACAAAACTTATGGCGTTTTGTATAATTTGGACATTTTTAGCTCAATTAACTGATTAAGGACAAGTTTGAAATTTTGAATTAACTACGTACCTTTTCCCCGAGAAATGCTCACCTATATACGGGACACATGTTAATATGTACACCACTTATGTGGCATGCACACATTGGTTGTGTATTTGTTTTGAACATATTAACATCACCAATATTTGAATGGTACATAATCGATGGACATATTAACATGTTCCCACCGTGGGTAGGGGATCATTATTCCCTTTTTCCCCTTCGTATAAGTTACTTTTTTTTTTGGGTTCTAATTTCGATTTAGTCATTATTTTCATCAGCTACAGTCTACAAAAGTATTTATGTAGTTGTTCAGAATATATTTCATATGAATGATAATTTTTCGCATGCGTTTCCAATTTTTCAATAAATAACAGTTTATGCTAATAAGCTTTTACTCTTATAACCTGATTATTATTATTATTATTATTATTATTATTATTATTATTATTATTATTTCGCAAATGTTTAGTCATTGACGAATGTTTGTGCAAGCCAACGAGTTATAATCATGTGAACATATACTAGAACTCTATTAGGTTTCGATGGGCGCATCGCAGCGCGGGACGTACGCCTCACCTATTGCGAAAATTGTATTCGCCTATTTGTTGGGTGTGATGAGCTCGTGACCTAGACACGCATGCTCACCTCGAAAAGGGTCCAACTTAGTTTTGGACGATCGAGCACTCCCTAAAAGTTGTCTTTTGATTCTATGAACCTCTCGAGATGTCCAAAAATATCTACAAGTACCGATGAAGCGAAATCATTCAAATCATAGGATTTCAATAGCTCTTTTGCATTGTTGACATCATTCATAAAGCATCTTATATTCTTTGTGTTGTTTTCTATCTTTCCTTCAATTGAAAATATTGTGTATTAAGTTTTGATATTAACTTCAATTTGGCTTTTTTTTTTGGATTATTTTTTTCTGCTTTGCAAATAAATCCGACATAGTCTATTTATAAGAAATTACAGAAATATTATTAAAAAATTATTAAATAATTATAAAATAGTATTAATTCTATAAGGTAAATGCTAACAAATTAGGAGCATGATTGTTGTTCAATATTTTCATATAACTATGGTGACTTTTTTTAACTTTTTTTTTAATAATTTACAGCTTTGGTTTTTTTTAGCCAATGGTTGGCACTGAATTCAGCTGAAATCCCATTGGAAATTGATTTGTGTATACAATGATTTTTGTATACAATGATGATATTTATTTTGAATATATGATGTTTTGTTTTCTGCTATAAATAACATTTTTAAAATAAAGAGTAATGATTTTCTCTCTTTTTACAGGTTGATGTTAAAGTATTCAAGGAGTTGGTAAAATATTTTTTTATTATAAAGAGTGAATTTTCCATTTTTATATGTGTTGTAATTTCTGTTATGCATAATTTTTTGTACTAAATTATTTATTATGCTATATTATTAATATTTTGAGGAAAATCAAAAAACAACTTTAGTTACTAAAAAACAAAGTATCATAAATTAGTGAGAATAAATAGCTAAAATATTGTGAGTGAATCAATTTTTTGATAATAAAAAAAAATATTTTTGAAATTCAAAGGTATTAAAGGTAATAAAGTAAGGAAAAAAAGAGAAATGTAACGGCTACACAGTAAATGAGGTTTTTTGGCCAGTATTAACATAGCAATACATTAATACAAATCAAATCTGTTTTTACAATAAAGTAATAAAAAAAATAATATTGAAAAGTAACAGTTTTTGGCGGGAAAGTGCCACGTAGGTATAATTAAATAGGTTTTATTTAATGCATCTGCCAACAATTATATATATATAGATTATTATTATTATTATTATTATTATTATTATTATTATTATTATTATTATTATTATTATTATTATTATTATTTCGCAAATGTTTAGTCATTGACGAATATTTGTGCAAGCCAACGAGTTATAATCATGTGTTACACATACTAGAACTCTATTAGGTTTCGATGGGCACATCGCAGCGCAGGACGTGCGCTTCACCTATTGCGGGCACGGCAATTGTGTTAGCCCATCTGTTGGGTGTGATGAGCTCGTGACGCGGACACACATGCTCATCTCGATAAGGGTCCAACTTAGTTTTGGACGACCGAGCACTCCCTAAAAGTTGTCTTTTGATTCCATGAACTTCTCGAGATGTCCAAAAGTATCTACAAGTACCGATGAAGCGAAATCATTCAAATCATAGGATTTCAATAGCTCTTTTGAAAGTTGTTATTGCTAAAAACACCTCAAAGATTTTGTATCTTGAAGGTTTTAGCCGAGAACCGTGAGTAATGTACTGTTGAGTCCGGCCCAATTTTGGTGGGCTTGGACTAAATAAGGGCCAAAGGCCCATTCTCTTTAATAAAAAGAATAAAAAAAAAAAATCTGCTTGACATAACCTACCGTGCGCAACAACGACAAGTTTATACACTCATCTTTTTCATTCCCGCAATTGCACTGCGCAGTCACAGGAAATCGCCGATTGCCGGCGATTGCACCGTTGGATCCTCACCAAATTTGGACAGCAGGTTCATAACTTCTTATTCTTCGTTTTGAACGGTGGAGATCGGGTTGAGAACACGTTAGGGCTGTCTGTTCGTATCTGACGTGAAGGGGATATTTGTGGTGTTTTGTTGATTTGTTTCTTGTGGTTTACCAAGATCTTGTATTGTGATCTTGAGGATTGTTGTTAGCCTCTAGTTTGGTGAACTAGAGAGGATTTGGTTGTACCCATTATCGGATTGAATAGTGGATGATTTAAGCGGCCTACGGGTCCCGTGGTTTTTTACCCAATTCCGGGTTTTCCACGCTAAAAATTATGTGTCATTCTATTGCTTGCTTGATCATCGTTGGTTTCCTATTGCTTGTGGTTATTGTTGTTGTTGATTGGACTTGGTGCTTGTTATTCGGTTGAAGTCATCTTTGTTTGGTGGCTTTTACCACAACAAAGTGGTATCAGAGAGTCAGGTTGGTTCGTGTGCCTTGTCCAAATCATGGAGACTAACACAAGCTGGATGGTTACCTTGAATTGGTCCAATTACCATGTGTGGAAAGGGAAGGTGGAAGATCTCTTGTATGTGAAGGATTATTATTTGCCCGTGTTTACCGATGAGAAGCCGTCGGATAAAACCGATAAAGAATGAGAGGTTTGTCACCATCAGGTGTGTGGCTACATTAGGCAATGGATAGATGATAATGTCCTCAACCACGTTAGTGAAGAAAAGAATGCACGGACCTTGTGGAATAAACTCGAAGAGTTGTATGCGTGGAAAACCGGGAACAACAAGTTGTTTTTTATCAAGAAGATGATGGCTTTGAAGTACCAGGATGGAAAGACTATGTCAGACTACTTGAACACATTCCAAGGAATAATTAATCAGCTGGCTGGATTGAATATCAAGTTTGACGATGAAATACAAGGGTTGTGGCTTCTTGGTACTTTACCGGACTCGTGGGAGACGTTCAGAACGTCTTTGTCTAACTCAGCCCCGAATGGAATTTGCTCCATGGATATGGTCAAGAGCAGTGTCCTGAACGAAGAGATGAGAAGAAAATCACAGGGTTCTTCTTCACAGACGGATGTCTTATTCGTTGAAAGGCGGGGGAGAAGTAAAAGCAATGGTTCGAATGATAGAAATCGAAGTAAAAGCAAGTCTGGAAGGTATGCCAACCTTGAGTGTCACCATTGTGGCAAAAAGGGACACATCAAGAGGTATTGCAGAAAGTTCCTCAGGGAGAATCCGAATGGCAAAGGCAAAGAAAAGAAGGTTGGAGATGGTGAAGATAGTGAGAAGGTAGCTGCGGCTACCGATGACTTTCTTATCATTTATGAAGGCGATGCCGTCAATGTCGCTTGCCAGGAGACTAATTGGGTGATCGATAGCGGTGCTTCGATTCATGTCACATCGCGAAGGAATTTCTTCAGGTCCTACACTCCCGGTGACTTCGGAAGTGTTAGGATGGGAAATGATGGTATTGCTAAGGCAGTTGGCATGGGAGACGTGCACTTGGAGACTGAAAATGGAAACATCTTAGTTTTGAGAGGTGTGAAGCATGTTCCCAACATTCGCATGAATTTGATATCTACCGGCAAGCTCGATGATGAAGGGTTTTGTAGCACCTTTCGAGACGGAAAGTGGAAACTCACGAAGGGATCCTTGATTGTGGCGAGAGGGCAGAAGTGTTCCTCACTGTACGTGATGAACGTGAAGATTGCGGATCCTATGATAAATACGGTGGATGATGAACACATTGTAGAACTTTGGCACAACCGACTTAGCCACATGAGCGAGAAGGGCTTGACAGTGTTGGCCAAGAAGAATCTCCTCCCAGGTGTGCAAATGGGTTTTCTGAAGAAGTGTGCTCATTGCTTGGCAGGGAAGCAAACCAGAGTTGCCTTCAAGAGAGTTCCCCACCCACGCAAAACGGGTATTTTGGATATGGTCCACTCTGATGTATGTGGTCCAATGAAGACGAGAACACTTGGTGGTGCCTTGTACTTTGTGACTTTCATCGACGATCATTCAAGGAAAATTTGGGTGTATATGTTGAAGTCAAAAGATCAAGTTGTAGACTTCTTCAAGCAGTTTCATGCTCGTGTGGAACGAGAAACATGTGTGAAGCTTAAGTGCATCTGAACAGATAATGGAGGTGAATACTGCGACCCGTTTGATGAGTATTGTAGGCAGCAGGGTATTCGACACTAAAAGACACCTCCGAAGACTCCTCAGTTGAATGGGTTAGCTGAGAGGACGAACCGGACACTAATTGAGAGGGTGAGATGTTTGCTTTCGCAGTCACAGTTACCGAGGTCCTTTTGGGGTGAAGCCTTGAGTAGAGTGGTGCATGTTTTGAATCTTACTCCGTGTGTTCCATTGAATTTCGAGGTTCCAGACAGGATGTGGTCGGGAAAGGAAGTTTCGTACAATCACTTGCGTGTTTTTGGATGCAAGGCCTTTGTTCATATTCTGAAAGATGAGAGGTCGAAGCTCGACATGAAAACAAGGCCATGTGTGTTCGTCGGTTATGGCCTTGATGAGTTTGGATACAGGTTCTATGACCCAGTGCAGAAAAAGCCTGTAAGAAGTCGAGATGCGGTGTTCGTAGAAGACCAGAGCATAAAAGACATCGATAAAGCCGAGATGACAGAGAAGCACATCGATGATCTGGTTGATTTAGATCCAGTCCATATACCTACTGTGTATCCTGATCAAGGAGGAGCGACACCAGAGGTTGATATTGGTCATGAAAATGGTGATGTCCCCACAGTTGATGATGTTGAGGCAACTGATGAAGTTGAAGAAGGGGTTCAAGAACCACCAGAAGAACCTATTTTGAGGAGATCCAGTCGAGAGCGGCGTCCGTCTACTAGATACTCTTCAAATGATTATGTGATGATCACTGATGCTGGAGAGCCAGAAACTTACCAAGAGGCGACCTTAATCGATGAGAAGAAGCAGTGGTTGAAAGCCATGGAAGAAGAGATGGAGTCTCTTCACGAGAACCACACTTATAACTTGGTGAAGTTACCTAAAGGCAAGAAAGCGCTAAAAACAGATGGGTATATAGATTTAAGATCGAAAATGCTAGCTCGCAGCCACGATTCAAGGCACGATTGGTTGTGAAGGGGTACGGTCAGAAAAAGGGAATCGTCTTTGAAGAGATATTCTCACCGATGGTGAAGATGTCCTCGATTGGAGTTGCTCTTGGTTTAGCGGCGCGGTTGAACCTGGAGATCGAGCAACTTGATGTGAAAACTGCTTTTCTTCACGGCGACTTGGAAGAAGAAATTTATATGGAGCAGCCCGAGGGATTCCAAGTTAAAGGCAAAGAGCATCTTGTGTGCAGATTGAAGAAAAGCTTGTATGGCCTTAAACAAGCTCCGCGGCTGTGGTACAAGAAATTCGACTCCTTCATGATGAGTCATGGGTACAGCCGGACATCGTCCGACCATTGTGTGTTCGTCAAGAGGTATTCCGATGATGATTTTATTATTCTCCTCTTGTACGTTGACGATATGCTGGTCATAGGCCATGATACTAGCAAGATTGCTCAGTTGAAGAAAGAGTTAAGCAAGTCTTTTGCGATGAAAGACTTGGGAGCGGCGAAAAATATACTCGGTATGAAGATCTCTCGTGATAGAAAGAATGGGAGACTATGGTTGTCCCAGGAAGACTACATCGAGAAGGTACTTGAGATGTTTAACATGAGCAAGGCAAGGGTGGTGAGCTCTTAACTTGCAGGTCACTTTAAGCTCAATTCGGAGTAATGCCCTACAAGTGAAAAAGACAAGGCAGACATGAGTCGAGTTCCTTATGCCTCTGCGGTTGGCAGTTTGATGTATGCCATGGTGTGCACCAGGCCCGATATTGCTCATGCTGTTGGAGTAGTTAGTCGTTTTCTCTCCAATCCGGGAAGAGAACATTGGGAAGCCGTCAAGTGGATATTGAGATACCTCAGAGGTACCTCAAGAGCATGTTTATGCTTCGGTGGTGGTGATCCTATGCTAGTTGGATATACCGATTCAGATATGGCAGGTGATATTGATTCCAGAAAGTCCATTTCAGGATTTCTGATGACTTTTGCAGGGGGAGCCATGTCGTGGCAGTCTAAGCTGCAAAAGTGTGTTGCGTTATCTACCACAGAAGCTGAGTACATTGCAATTACAGAAGGTTGCAAAGAGGCTTTGTGGATGAGGAAATTCCTAGAGGAATTGGGGTTACACCAGGAGAAAAATGTTGTGTTCAGTGATAGCCAAAGCGCTATCCACCTCTCTAAGAACTCGTCATTTCACTCGAGGTCCAAACACATTGAAGTGAGGTATCACTGGATTCGAAACGTTCTCGAATCAAAACAATTGCACTTAGCAAAAGTGCACACGAGTGAGAATGGTGCAGACATGATGACGAAGACTTTGCCGAAAGAGAAGCTTGAAGTATGTCGGCGAAGAGCGGGCTTGTTGGAGCCCACCACTTGATCCGGAGGGGGAGTTTGTTGAGTCCGGCCCAATTTTGGTGGGTTTGGACTAAATAAGGGCCAAAGGCCCATTCTCTTTAATAAAAAGAATAAGAAAAAAAAATCTGCTTGGCATTGTAAGAATATGTGGCCCGAAAGCATTGGGCTCACATTTAATTATCCTATTGGGCCAGACCTTATTTAATAGTCAAACAAATCTAAGCCATTAATCTGGCTATTTGATGGACGTACCAGATATAAAGACACCTCTATATAAATTAGTCCTCTCTCCTTCTATTAGGGTACGCAGTCATAATCTCATCACTTTTCTGCTACGTTAAGATTGGACAGGAGGGAGAAACTAATTTAGTCTAACAATCGATCAAGCCTCTTGTGATCATCAAGATCAAGATCACTAATTATGTCGTCTTCTGCATCAAGTAAGTATTTCGTATACACCAAATTATTTATTCAAGATCCTTGATGAAGTTTACATGTGGTATCAGAGCATGTGTTATGGATAAATAATTGATGTGTATTTACGGTATTGAATAGATATGTTCAATTATCTGTTTGATTTATTCGACCATATGATATTGGAATATAATTTCTCATATGTCCAGTATATGTTCATGTGGTTATATTCGACGATATGATGAATTGATTGTTAATTCTGGCTGCGTGAAATTTGTTTGGACTTGTTTTTCGTTTTCTGAAATCTGTAATCATGGTTACGTAATGATGAGAAAAACAAATCAAATCCTTTTGATGAGTTACGTGTTCTATTTTGTTTCAATGTAGGAATTAGCCTAATGCTATGAGACAATATAAAACTATTAAGGCTCACGCAATATTTATTTGTCTCAATTAGTTTCTTGACAAATTGATTGTGCTGTTTGATATTATTTATTCATTCAGTTTGGCTTATTATGATGGATTGTTATCCTCGGTCATTACGAATTGTTAAGTTGTTTCCTGAATGTGGATAATTGGAACATAATTTCAACATATGTTGGTTTTTTGTTTCAGAAAGTTATGAAACATTATTTATTGATACTTAACCAATATATATTATGATATGTATGAATGATTTATTATATGACATTAAAGCAAAAATTAATTAGTTAGTCACCAAAGTGGCCTAATTAATTTTTAATGTTCGGTCATATAATTTATGGTTATAATTTTATTATATGACATTAAGATAAAATTAATTTGTTAGTCACCAAAGTGGCCTAATTAATTTTTTAATGCCCGGTCATATAATATTACTGTTACAATTGATTGTATATGACATTAAGGGAAAATTAATTTGTTAGTCACCAAAGTGGCCGGATTAATTTTCTAATGTTTGGTCATATAATTTATGTTCTCTTGAGAATGTAATTATTATGGATTAATGAGTTTATTGGTTGTTAGAAATTATGGATTTACCCAAAGGTGAATCAATGTTCTATAACTAATAAACATTAAGGAGAAATATAATATCTTTTGTCGAGCGTATGTAGATATCCAAAGATACTATGTATGTTAGACGAAGTTTATTTAATTTCTCATTAAGTGTTAAATGACATTCGACTTATGATAATGATATATATTGTTGTGTTTACCCAAAGGAGACCTGCAATATATTTTATGAATGATTTTCTGAATCTATTAATTAAGTGAGCTTTTATGATTGTGCAGCTATATCTCTTCATTCGCAAACTTCTTCTGTTACTGTCTTCAATGGTTTGAATTTCTCTGAATGGCGTGAGCAAGTCAATTTCCATTTAGGTGTTTTGGATATTGACTTGGCTCTGCTTGAAAAAAAGCCTGCTGACATTAATGATCAAAGCAGTGAGGCTGAGAAATCAAACCGTAAGGCTTGGGACAGGTCTAACAGATTATGTTTGAGCTTTATGCGAATGAAGATTGCCAACAACATTAAGTCAACTTTTTCCGATAATGTGGATGCAAAAGCATATCTTTTGCTTGTGGAAGAGCGTTTTCGTTCCGCGGATAAGTCATTGGCAGGAACACTTATGGCTGAACTCACGACCAAAAAGTATGATGGGTCTCGAAGTATGCAGCAACATGTTCTTAACATGACTAATCTTGCAGCAAGGCTTAAGTCTCTGGGCATGACTGTTGATGACTCATTTCTGGTGCAATTTATGCTTAACTCGTTGCCTCCTGAATATGGGCCATTTCAAATTAACTATAACACTATTAAGGATAAGTGGGATGTTAATGAATTGGCCAGTAAGCTTGTTCAGGAGGAGACGAGGCTTAAGGCACAAGGAGTTCATACAGTCAACCTTGTGGGTCGAGGAGCTAATGATGTTCTCAAACTGAAATCCAACAAGTTTAAGAAGAAAGGACCTGAAAGTTTCACAGGTCACTAATGATGAAAAGAAGGAAAATCGGGCAAATAAATGTTATTTCTGTAGGAAAGAAGGTCACGTACAGAAAGATTGCCTGAAATGCAAGTCTTGGTTTGAAAAGAAAGGTATTTCTATTATCTTTGTATGTTTCGAATCAAACTTGTCTGAAGTTCCTTCAAATACTTGGTGGTTGGATTCTGGTGCTACAACTCATGTTTCTAATGTGATGCAGGATTTCTTACAATCCAGAGCATAAACCCAAATGAGAACTTCTTGTTTATGGGGAACCGTATGAAGGCCCCAATTGAAGGAATAGGGACTTATTGTATTGTTTTAGATTCCGGGCACCACCTGGATCTTTTAAAAACTCTCTATGTACCTTCATTTTCTAGAAACTTAATGTCTATTTCTAGACTTGATGTTCTTGGGTTTTCCTTTAAGTTTGGACATGGATGTTTGTTTGTCCCATTTTTGTGTCTTTATTTTCGCTTTATTTTTCCCAGCTTATAGGATTTTCGTAGTTTATTTGGTCCAATTCTGTGTTTTTTCCGTTTCTCTCTTTAGTTCGTTTTGTGTGTCTTTTTGCTGTGTTTTGCTTCGTGTTTTCTCCGTGTTTGTGTTTTCAGGAGGTAGATTGTGTTGATCGAGGACAGGACTACTTGAGTTGAGACCGGGATATCGAGAATGCTCATTGATGTGCCCAGATTATTGAAAGAAGGACCGAAAAAACTGATCGAAGAGCTGCCAGAACAACTCGCGACTCGCGAGACAGTGTCGCGACTCGCGAGTCAGTCGCGACTCGCAAGATGGTCGCGACTCGCGAGTCCAACAGAGCCGAGAAGATGGTTTTCGCGAGATGAGTCGCGACTCGCGAGTCATTGTCGCGACTCGCGAGATGATGTCGTGACTCGTGAGTTATGTCGCGACCCTCCCCAGAAAATAAAGATTTTTGATGACGCGCGACTCGCGAGAAGTCGCGACTCGCGACCTGAAGAAAAGTGAAAGTCGCGACTCGCGACTTATGTCGCGACTCGCGACTTACGCGGCGTGAATTTCGAGGTCGGGATTTTTATATCAGATTTTCGACCTAGACAAAAAGACACGTTCCAGACTTCGTTTTTTCACTTTTTTCTCTCAAGAAACTCATTCCTTTTCATGCTTTTGCTTATTTGATTGGATTTTGGAGATTAAAAACTCTATTTTCCTTGCTTTGGATTGGATGTTTTTGGATTCAACATTGAAATATCATTATTAATCGTAAGTTTTTCCTTCTCTATTGTGTGATTGATGATGATGGCTTGGGTTCTTATGAATTTTTATGTTGAATTCTATATGAGTAGCTAAATCCATACGCTAGGGATAGGGGATGATTGATTAGGTTCGATAATAATTGCTTGTTCTTGATTGTTCATATCTATTCAAGTCGTGCTTATTCTAGGGTTAATAGATTGATCACCTGTTTAACCTAACTAGTCAACGTGTGGAACCGTGAGGGTAGACGTTGGTCGATATAGGCTTGTTTAGAGTAGACTTGTTCGTAACTGTATTGTCTATGCGTTGCGGGAACTGATAGTTAATCGTTTACATCCACTCTCTTGTTCGTAACTGTATTGAGAGTGAACCTCTGAACGAGAAACGATTCAGGTCCTTAAACCGAGCAATTGATTGTCGGTAGCTGTGGTAGAACCGAAAGCAATTATCCCCGATTCCCTAGCTCTTTAATCATTTGAGTAAATTCGTTTTCTGTTTAAGTTGCTTTTCATTTATTTTCAAGTCATTAGTTATAATCAAAACCAAATCCATTGAATAGAGTGTCTAGAATATTTTCTCTTTTCCATGATCGAATAAACGTACGATTGAATCCGGCTAACCTTCCTTGCGATACGACCCGGGGAACGAATCTTTTGATTCTACTCCGGTAAAAATACTTACAACAATGTTTCAGTTTGTTTGATAAACATGATTCCGTTATTGGTTCTGGAATTCTTATGGATGGTTTATATAAACTGAAACTTGATGTTGATTTTTCTGCATCTTTAATGTGTGTTCATCAAAACATTGGAATTAAACGTGGTGTAGCGAATGAGAACTCTGCTTTCTTATGGCATAAACGTTTGGATCATGTATCCAAAGAAAGAATGCAAAGGTTGGTGAAAGATAAGATTCTTTTGAATCTAGATTTTACCGATATTAGGTTGTGTGTGGATTGCATTAAGGGAAAGCAAACCAAACATAACAAGAAAGGAGCCACAAGAAGTAGTCAGCTTCTTGAAATTATACATACCGATATATGTGGACCTTTTGATGCTCCATCTTTTAATGGAGAAAAGTATTTCATTACCTTTATAGACGATTTTTCACGTTATGGTTATGTCTATCTGCTGAAGGAAAAATCTCAAGCTGCAAATGCACTTGAGGTTTTCATTAATGAAGTTGAAAGGCAGTTAGACAGAAAGGTGAAAATAGTAAGGTCTGATAGAGGTGGTGAATACTATGGAAGGTATGATGAATCGGGACAAAATCCCGGTCCATTTGCTAAGTTCTTTGAAAGACATGGCATATGTGCACAGTATACTATGCCAGGCACACCTCAACAAAACGGTGTAGCGGAAAGGCGAAATAGAACATTAATTGATATGGTTAGGAGTATGATAAG